ACCGGGCATCCCTCGAAAGGAGCAAAGTTCCTCCGACCTCCTTTCGCTCCTGGCCGTCAACAGGAACTTCCCTCTTGCTTGCTTGGGCGGGGGGGAGCGAACTGATGGCCAAGGGCAAGTGACTCAGGAAGGAGCTAACCACAGCACGTCGCTTTCTCTCCTATTGAGATATACCCGAGATATCAGCGATGCGCCAGCTACAGGCCACTCCAGTCACCTTCTCCCCAAATATTCTTGCTCGAGTTCGAGAGCCAGTTTCCTTTCCCTTAGGTAGCCCCATTCATGTTATTGGGCGCCACGTTTCCCCAAGGCGTCGCATTCGAATGAATGGACCTCTAATTCCCTCTCCGGGAGTCGCTTTCCCCGCGTTAAGTCCCGCAATCGGGGCTATTTCGACGTCTACCGAGGACTCCGTGGAAGCCTCCCCAGCGCCGCCACTTCCCCAATTGTCTCAAGAAGGCGCTAAGCAGGGACGCCCGCGACGGCGAGCACGGCCTGTGTATTTCCAGCCGCTGAGAGTCTGGCTTGCGCTCAAACGCGCCCTTTAAACCGCGCCCATAAATACAAGCCGAGCCCTCTCGCTGCGTCCCCAATCCTCGGGCCGACCCGCGCCGAAAACAAGCCAGCCGAAGTCCAAAGGGACCCTCAGCAGAGGCTTCCCCTCCAGCGGCGGCACAGGAAAAGCTTTCCGAGGTCCTAAAGCGCCCCAAGAGCTCTCGGAGGCGGGAAGGTTGGGAGGAATGGAAGCGCCCCAATGGCGGGGCGACTGGGGGAAAAGCCGCCTCTCCGCTCGTCCGTCCCCTCCCTTACCCCCCACCTCGCCTCTCTCCTTAATTCTCTCAGCGGAGAGGCGGCTTTGCTTTATTTCTGGTTAAACTCCCCCCGCGCCAGATGAAAACCTCCACCTCCGCTGAAAGTAATGCCTAGAAAATTCAGCCGCGGAGGAACGCAGATTCCATCGCAGGCTTTCTCCGCGGCGCGCCCCGCAGTCGCCCATCCAGAGGAGCTACCGCTCGCTCGCTCCCTCCCTCCCTCCCCACGATTATCAGCGAGGCGTCGCTGGAATTCACACAGACACACACACTCACACAACCTAAACGCCTCGAGAAAAGCGGGGGGACGACAACCTTCCCTTTCGACTCCCGTTATAACAGCCGGGCTAGGCTGGCGGAGGGGCACGGAGGGTGTGTGGGGGGGACGGTGGTGCCCGTCCTGCCTGAAGCAGCCGTTGCGCCTGAGCCTCCTGCCTGCAAATGGGCGGGAAAAGAGAGCGCAGCGTCGAGCCGCCTTACGCTGGGCGCGCTTTCTGTGAAGGAACCGCTACTTTTCGGGCGGGAAACTTTCAACCCCCTCATCCCCCTACCCCGAGGCTTGTCCTCCGAATTCCCTCAGGCTTCTCTGCCTGAGGAGATTCCTCGCTTCTGGTCTAAGAAAGGGTCTTCCGGAGAGCCCTGAGAACCCCCTCGCTACCTGTTTCTCCCAACTTGTATCATTTCCTTTGCCTCGAAAAATAAAATGAAATTAAATAAAAAACGGGACGGTCCGAAAGGCAAACTGCTGCACGCGTGACCCTTGTAGAGTCACAAGCTCAGGTTGTGGACTCGACGGGGTGGGGTGGGAGTGGGTGGGTGAAATCTCTGGGGAACGTTGACCCCCCCCCCCCCAAAAAAAAAAAACATGATTCCAACCCAAGGCTGAGTTAGCACCATCCCCACCCCCCGGCCCTTCTGCCAGATCTAAACGTGGCCGTCTCCTAGCCCCGCATCGTTTCTGAGCTCGAGTTACGCCGGAAAAGAGGCCTCACCTTCGCGACGGTCCGTCAGGGCCGCCGAAAGAGCCAATCTGGAAAGAAGAGTGAAGGGCGCCGGCTCTGAGGACCGCTCGAGCGTGGCAGGCCGCGCGCTCCTTCTCCCCCCGTTTCTTAAGACTAAGCCCCGCTCAAATCCCCGGGGCCCACGCCCGGTCAGGCTCGCGCCAGCTGCGCAACCTTAGGAACCTTTCTTCCCTGGAAAACCAGCTGCTTTCCCCCGACCTGCCTCCTGCGTGCGACGCATCAATCTTAAGATTAGGGATCCGACGGATTCCCTCCTCGGACAAGAATTGTTATTGTTATGGTTATCATTATTTATCTTGGATGAGCCTCATCTTTCCTTGATTCCAACAATCAGGTGTCTCGTTTTAGCCGCCCCCTCACCCCCGCCTTCCCCAGCCGCACGGGAGAACGGGGAGAAAATGTAAAACTACGATAGCTACGACTTCTGACTCCCGATTCAAAACAGCCACACAGCAAAAGAGTTGTGTGAATATGAGAAATTTCTCCCGCCCCCCTGCAATTAAATAATAATAATAATGGGAATATTAACTTTGCTACCCCCACCCGAAAACATATTAATTATATTTATTTCTTTATTTTTAAAAAAACCTCGCAAATGTGTTTGTATCTAAAACACGGATCCTCCTATCAAGTTTTCTTAGCTGTGTCCCGCATCCGGCTATATATTTTGGTTTGAAATAAATTGAGTTTGAAGTTTAATGAATCGGAAGGAGATCCAAAGATACCGTTTCCTTGCTTACACATTTAATGTTGCTTTTTTTCTCAAATATATATTAAAAATCCTACTATGCTAACAAAATCCATAAATTATTTCAAAAGGAATGAAAGTATTGTATTCAAGTACAATAAGATGCACACTCCCAGATGAATCCACAGCATGTACAGCCTTAGCTTTAGGATTGCTTGACTTCCACTTCCTAAACCTTATTGGGGAAGGTTCAACACTGGATTTCCATCAGCCCAAACCTAAATATACCTAGTCTGAAGAAAACTCCATTGAAATAAACCAATTTTCTTCCACATGAAGTACAGAAGTATTAATTTCCTGTCCAAATCTTAACAGCCCAAACCTAATTCTGCCGAAATGTACTGAAATCGCACTGAATTCAAATTACATTTACATTAGTAAACGATTTAGGAATGTAACCACATGCTTCTCTGGAAAAGAACCCCGTGAATTCAACAGGAATGTATTTGAGTTGTATCCTTAGCATTTCATTGTAAATAAATTAAGACTGCAGCCTTTTGCAGTTAGATTCTCAGATTCTTTAAACTCTGTGGAACTTGCTTTCCACTAAACATGCCACAGGTTTATGGTGTCCACACACATGCATGCACACTGTTAAGATCAATTTCATCCAATTTAGCCTATTTAAATTTCAGCAATGGACATGAATGCTCCAGTTCCAAATACCTTAACTTATTCCAGCCTCTTTCTACCCCATTTCTTTTCTTTTCTTTTTTGCTACAACTTGCCACTTGCTACTCTATTTGGTGTAGAACAAACTCATTCAGAATCAGAGACTAATGCAAAGATTACTCACAAAAGCTAATTCCTTTAGAATGCATTGTAGGACCTATTTAAATTTTTAGAGCCAGATAAGGCAAATATTTCTGCATTTAACTTAGGTTCCCAGAAATTTCAAAGGAAGGCTAAAATGGTAGAAACAACAGACACTACATGGTATTGAAGCTAGAAAAAGAAAGTAAACTCTACATCTTAAGCTTTGCCTCCTTTTGCCACTTAAAACAGCAAATTCCTTTTCCCAGGTCAGAAAAGCCACCATACATATAGCACTTCTTTAACCTGCTTTTTCAGTGCTATGAATCACCACCACCATCCTCATCCGTAATGTAACTATCTATCATGGGAGGCTTCTGGGACTTTTTTTTTTTTTCCTAAAGAGAAAAAAGACGGGATTCTGTTCGTTGACATGGATTTATTTGCTGTAAACATTAAAATTATCTTTCTCCAAGAAAGGGTTTGGGAGAAAGGGTCAGCTTCTAACTGTCATATACACCACATGGAGAAATTGTGGGGTGGGTAGAATGGGAGAGAGGAAAGGGAAGAGGCAGTGATTTCAAAATATGCCATACTGGAAATATACAAAGAAAAATAGATATACTACATAATATGGCATTAAAAAACATGGTATTGATACGTAAAATAATATATTAACAATTTTAGGCATTAAAAAAACAACTCCCTCCCTCAACAAAAGAAACTTGAAATAAAAAGACAAAGTGCTCAATAATTTCCAGGGAGATCTATATATGAGAGAAACACTCTGGAAATAGTCAAAAAAGCTTGTGCATGCAAGACTGGTTTCTCCTCAGACAACAAAATGATCAAGATATAAACTGTTTTCTTTTTAATCAGCATCAACAATACATACGACACTTACAAACAAGGAATGCCAAACGGTGTTTACAAACACGGGAATATGGGTCCCTTTTCGGAAGATTTTCCAGAAATGGATGTGGGTAGGGAGTCTGTTGTATTTGTGTAACACCTGTGCCCACCTATTTTACAACTGAGAAAAAAAAAGTTTGAAGCTTCTTAGAGAACTACCAATCTTTATAAAATCTAGCAGACTACATAGTGTCTGAAATAACTATTTATAGAATATAGACATTACTGAAATAGCAAGTGCCTATAATAACATTGCCTTCCTAGAATCATCAGACTTTCTTTTGATTTAAATCTTAAATAATCAAATCTTTTTGTTCAAATCCCTTTGATTTAGTCTCTTTTTTTCTCTCTCTCTCTCTTTCTCTAATTTTATAGTGGTTTGAATAGCTTATTCATAAATAGGCACAGAATAGTTTTGCTCTGTATTTTTAGAAAGAAAAGGCCAAACTGCATCTGATAAGTGTACAATCCTTTGCCTTCTGTCGATTCATGCTGCACCCTCTCCCTCCCGCACCCTTAATTTCATCTTCTAATATATTACAGCTTTCCCTTTACAGCAGAAAACACTTTTAAAAGTCTTAAGGAAGGAGGGAAGGGGGAGATTGAGTGGGTCATTTTGAAATACTCTTGCCAGTAACAGCAGCAGCAGCAGCTAAAGCCTGAGCAAGACTCAGCTTCCTAACTTACAGTCCTTGGTCACAGCCATCCTGACAATCAGAGTAATGAACTCTTTTTTTCTTTTCTTTTTTTTAAAAACCTGTGTGTCGTGTTTTTTTTTTGCTTTGGGGGAAAGGGAGTGGATGGGAGCGAAAGAGACTTTAGTTTTCGGGGGGGGGGGGTTGTTTGTTTGTTTTGGCAAGAATAAAAAGCTGGTACCATGGGAATCTGTGTGTGGTCCAAGGAACGGAATTCAGCATGGCCACAGCCCCCAGTTTTCAGTCACTGTTCTGCAGGACAAGCTAAGCCACAGTCTGGAGGGGTGGGAGCATGCAGCAGCCAGAGATGCTCCTTCCTTATGGAGAGGGAAACAGGGGGCTCTTGCTTTTCTCCTGGGCTTCGATCTCCTTGCTTGCTTGCTTGCATTCCCCCCACCACCACCACCTTCGAGGCTTCGAAAGTTCTTCAACTCTGAGAACACAGCAGCATTGTCTTTCTTTCTTTCTTTCTAGGTTTCCCCACCCCCACCATCCCCTTACACTTTTTTTTTCTCTTTCTCCCTTTCTCTGTCCTTGTTTCTAAAAAGGTAAAGTGTCCAAGAAAAGTTTGTCAATTATTGCTGGTGGCGGCACCAAATCTTCCAGTTTCAGGTAGAAAATACGCTGCAGGCCTTGCGTGCAGAGGGTCCGCAGTTCAGGGAGCTTGCCCAGGAGTTTGGACAAGTAATTTGGCCTGTTCAGGCCACCGTTGTTGAAAGTCACATGGTCCTTGAGGCAATTGACAATCTTGTTCTGTAGTTCTTCCACCCGCTTGGGCTCCTTCAGGCCATGCCTCTCTGCAAAAGGACAAGAAGGTGCTGATTTAGACCCAGCTCTAGGGGGTGGTTGAGGTAGGGGTAGTTCAACAGGAGAGTACAAATTAGGCATTGGGAGACCCTTCCCCTGCTTTAACTACCCCTTACTCCTTAAAGTCCCAATGCTAAACAACATAGTTTGGAATAAACTGAAGTTTCGGAACTCAGTGGACTTCCTTTCATGCAGCTACAAATTAGCATTGTGAAATTATAGTTGTGGCTCAGGTTGCAACCCCCTCCATTTGAGTCAGGCCTCTTGAGCTTCTAGTGTGCAACAGAACTATCTGTATTATAGCAATTCAAACATGAATGCTCTCTCATAAAGCCTCTGTTCATAAGAGCCCCTCCGTGGTTGGATCAATTAACCCAATACCTTGGATTGGCAGGCATGCTGAACCTTCAGTTAATCACAGGGGTTGGATGCCCACCATATCAACATAAAATATGATTGGCTACTTTGTGATTCAGTGTGTCATGTGAACATAAACATGTCTTCATGCATATATCTTGATTTGTGCCTTCTATTCCCTATTGCCAATGCATGGATTGTACAAAAGGGCAATCACTCTGGATTACTTCATACTCCTTGGGGACATAATGATAAACTCTAGTTTACTTTAAACAGGAGCATAGGAAGGTTAAAGAAATAAGTTTACGTAATCCAGAATAAAAGCCACGAGTTGATGGAAAAAAGAAGCGAGGAAACCCAAAATGCCGTACAGAAGTTCTAAAGTGAAACAAGGGCAAGGAGGGTGGCTATTGTGGATTTTAACTCTATATTGGAAGAATGGGCATCTTTTCTAACTGAGAACTCTCATCTGCCTTGGCAAGTTGAAACAGGAGCATGGGGCAGAGATTTCCTGCTTGCCAGAAAGACTAAAATTCCAATAATAATAATAATAATAATAATAATAATAATAATAATAATAATAAT